TGTGAGCTAGGCTGACGCCACAGCACTCTAGCCCAGGCAACACAGTGAGACTCTGTCTCAAAAAAAAAAAAAAAAAAATTAATGGAGCACAAATGTTTTTGTTACATGGATAGCTTTTGTAATGCTTAAGTCAGGGCTTTAAATGTGCCCATCACCTGAATAGTGTTCATTATACCTGTTAGGAGGTTTTTACCCCCCCTCCATTGCCTCCCTCCTTCTTGATTTTCAGTGACTTTTACTTTGCCATGTATGCCCATCTATTAGTTCCAAATTATTAGGGAGTACATGTGTTGTTTATTTTTCCATTCTTGAGATACTTCACTTAGGATAATGGTCTCCAGTTCCATCCAAATTGCTATAAAGTACATTAATTCATTTCTTTTTATGGCTGAGTGGTACTCCATGGTGTGTGTGTGTGTGTGTGTGTGTGTGTGTGTGTGTGTATGTGTGAGTGTGTCTATATATATATATACATACCACATTTTGTTAATCCACTCATGGATTGATGGGCACTTGGGTTGATTCCACATCTTTGTGATTGTGAATTGTGCTACAATAAACACTCGATTGCAGGAGTCTTTTGATAAAATGACTTCTTTTCCTTTGGGTAGATACCCACTAGTGGGATTTCTGGATCAAATGGTGGGTCTGCTTTTTGTTCTTTGAGAAGTCTCCATACTGTTTTCCATAGAGGTTGTACTAATTTGCAGTTCCACCAACAGTGTATAAGCATTCCTTTCTCTGTGCATCCACACCAGCATCTATAGTTTTTTGACTTTTTAATAATGGCCATTCTGACAGGGGTAAGGTAGTATCTCATTGTGTTTTAATTTTCATTTCCCTGATTATTAGTGATGTTGAGCATTTATTCATATGTTTTTTGGCCATTTGTCTATCTTTTTTTGAAAAGCTTCTGTTCATGTCTTTTGACCACTTTTTAATGATGTTGTTTGTTTTTTTCTTGATGATTTGTTTTCTTTGTAGATTCTTGATATTAGCCCTTTATCAAAGGGATAGCTTATGAATATTTTCTCCCATTCTGTTGGTTGTCTATTTTTCTGTTGATTACTTCCTTCGCTGTACAGAAACTTTTTAAGTTAATCAAGTCTCATTTATTTATCTTTGTTGGTGCTATAATTGCCTTTGGGGTCTTAGTCATAAATTGTTTACCTACGCCAATATCTAGAAGACTTGTTCCTACATTTTCTTCTAGAATGTTTATGGTTTCATGCCTTACATTTAAGTCTTTTATCCATTTGAATTAATTATTGTAAGTGGTGAGAGATAGGGATCCTGTTTCATTCTTCTGCATGTGGCTCTCTGATTTTCCCAGGACCTTTTAATTGAATATGGCTTCTTTTCCACAGTGTATGTTGTTGTCTGCCTTGTCAAAGATCAGTTGGTTGTAGGTAGATGGCTTTATGTCTGGGTTCTCTGTTCTGTTCCATTGGTCTATGTCTTTGTTTTCATGCCAGTACCGTGCTATTTTGGTTACTTATAGTATAGTTTAAAGTCTGGTAATGTGATGCCTCCAGATTTGTTCTTATTGCTTAAGATTGCTTTGGTTATTCAGGCTCTTTTCTGGTTCCAAATGAAGTATAGAATTATTTTTTCTAGATCTATGAAATATAATGTTGGTATTTTGATGGGGATCGTGTCAAATCTATAAATCACTTTGAGTAGTATGGACATTTTAACAATGTTGGTTCTACCAATCTGTAAGCATGATGTGTTCTTCCATTTCTTTGTGTCATCTATGATTTCTTTCATCAGCATTTCATAGTTCTCCTTGGGGAGATCTTTCACATTTTTGGTTAAGTATATTCCTAAGTATTTTATCTTTTTTTAGCCATTGTGAATGGGATTAAGTCTTTGCTTTGACTCTCAGCTTGACTGTTACTGGTATACAGAAATGATACTGATTTGTGTACATTGATTTTGTAAACTGAGACTTTGCTAAATTTATTTATCAATTCCAGGAGTCTCTTGGTGGAGCCTTTGGGATTTTCTAGGTACAAGATCATATCATCAGCGAAAAGCTATACTTTGTCCTTCTCTTTTCCAATTTGGATACCTTTTATTTCTTTCTCTTGTGTGATTGCCCTCTCTGGGACTTCCACCACTATGTTGAATAGAAGTGGTGACAGTGATTGCCCTTACCTTGTTCCAGTTTTTACAAGGAATGCTTTCAACCTTTCCCTGTTCAGTATGATGTTGGCTTTGGTTCTGTCATATATGGTTTTTATAATTTTCAGATATGTTCCTTCTATGCCAAGTTTGTTGAGGGTTTTGATCATGAAAGCGTGTTGGATTTTGTTGAATGTTTTTTCTGCATCTATTGAGGTGATCTTATGAGCTTTGTTTTTGCTTCTGTTTATATGGTGAATCACATTTATTGATTTATGCATGTTCAACCATCCTTTCATCCCTGGGATGAAGCCCCCTTGGTCATGGTGGATTATTTATTTATTTGATGTGCTATTGAGTTCAGTTTGCTAGAATTTTGTTGAGGATTTTTGCATCTATATTCATAAGGGCTATTGTTCTATGGCTTTTTTTTTTTTTTTTCACTGTGTCGTTTCCTGGCTTTGGTATCAAGGTGATATTAGCTTCATGGAATCAGTTGGGAGGATTCCCTCCTTCTTGATGCTATGGAATAATTTCTGTAGTATGGGTACCAGCACTTCTTTGTAGGTATTGTAGAATTCACGCTGGCAGCGTGATGCTTTATTTTCAAGAAGCTCCCAGTTCAGTGGTGGCAGCAGCTTTTGGGCTAATGTGAGTAGAAAAGCTCTCCAACAGCTGAGGAGCCCACTGACTACCAGAGCTGCGAGGGAAGAAGAAACAAAATCCCTACCTACCCTCACCACTGGGCTCCAGGCTTCTCCGGGATTGATCTCTGCCGATATCTTGTTTCTTCCTGTTCTGCTCTGCAACTTCTTCCTGTGGAATCTCCAGCAGGCTCTGGTACCTTTCTCCCTGAACTACACCTGAGCTGTGTTGTGTTGCCCTTTCTCCTTTATCTGAAACCTTTTCTTCCCTCTGGGATGATATGGTGGCTGATGTCTCTAGTCAGCCATCTTCCCTCTCCACCTCCAACCTAAGGTCTTCTTTTAACACAAGCTAAGGGGCTGTCTCTGAATCTTCTGTTTATTTGCCAATTGCTGGTTCAAAACGGAAGTGTCTGCTTTGCCAGACACAGGCATGGGTTAAGGCCAGGGTTAAGACACAGCCACAGGCTGTATAAGAAACAGATGGGATGAGAGACCAACCTCATTAACAGCATACTTGGACTTTCTGCTTACCATCTTTCTTCTGTGCAGATAGCAGAAGCCAGGCTAACTGAGGCTTCCGCACATGCTGCCAGTTAACCCCAAAGCCTCTCAGAAGTCAAGACTTTGAGGTTCTCAGTATATGTAAAAATGAAGAAATGCCTAGACAAGGTTACAAAAATTTTGGTACATTTTTAATATTCACATTTAACAAATTGCTGCTTTTAAAACACACATGGACACACATATTAAAGATTACAGGATTTATGAAACTGTTAAATCATAGTGCCCTATGGTTGCTGCGGTCCAGATAATGGGACACAGTTCAAAGTGATCTGATGGTATTGTCTTCTTTCAGTTCTCTGAGTGTAACTCCAGACATAATATTCATGTCTGCACTTGAGACCCTCCATGACTGGGAAGCCCTTCCCACATGGTCCCCTTGGTTTCCCTATGAACTGTACTCTTTACCTCTCCCAAATGTCTATAATTGGAGCTCTTTCCTTAACCATAAGCCTAGCACACCACCTGCTCCAACATACCATGATATTATAAAGGAGGCAAAAAGACAACTTGCAAGGAACCAAAAGGATTTTAGGACGTAAGTTGATATCATACTATTGCTAAATATAAAATCATACTTCTTTAGAGCTGGAAGTGATCAGAGAAATCACCTAAACTAAGCTCCTTATTTTATTGATGAGGAAAGTCAATTCTGAGCATCTGACAGACTCATAAATTCCTTTCAGGTAAGTGTCAGGGATGTATGTTGTAACCATGGAGCAACGGCAAGTGTCAGGGACTGAAGAAAGGAAATAAGCTTTGCTGTGGTGTGGCTGGGGGTGGGTATGCCCCAACATGGAGAGGCTAAGACTCCAGGAAATAGAGATTGGAGTCTGGTCCCTTTAGAAAGACGAGCCCTGGAAGATGAGCAGAAAAGCTGTCTGCAGTAGTAGTTCTTCCCTGGAGCTGAGAGGCAGTTGGGGTGGTGTTGAGGGAAGCAAGATAGGGAGGTCTTTTCTGAAATGTTTTCCTGGGGAACATATTCAGGTTTTTGTGCTTATTTAAATGATTCCTTGTGGCCAGTCATAGTATTCTCATGTGCTAGGAAGCTAGGAATTTTTACAAGAACATATTGGCAGGGTCCAATATTCTCCCCATGATATGAAGGTTCTGCCTAGAGATTTTATTGCCCTAAGGGGAAGAAAGGATGAGCATCAGGATACCTGATGCTGTTAAAGGAGCACACCAAAGAGGAGGAGCCAGCTACGACATATCCAGGAGGCAGACAAAAAGAAGTCTGAGCCCCTACTTTCCATGGGTCCCCATTCCCCTTCCACCCACCCACCTGTTGGATTTCCTATCTCAGTGGGAAGAATAGGGAATGGACCCATTGCTAAAGGACCCCTGTGGGAGCAGAAAGTGGAGTCCAGGCTGTACTCAGGTGTTGTGGGGGATGCCTTTGGCACATGTTTATAAGAGGGAATGTGCGGGGTGATTCCTCACACTAAATAGTGCATAGGGAGGGAATGGATTGGTTTGTAAAAGATTTTTACTAACATATAGATGTCAGTAAATTGTTGATTTATTTTTTCCCAATTAGGAATGCTTGCTTTATTTTAAAATCTAACTCCAAACTTTGATTTTATAGGGAAAAGCAGAGAATTAATGAAGAAATAAAACATCTAAAACAGCAGCAAGAAAGAATCAGCAAGGAGCTTGATAGGTTTGTTTCTTATTCAACTTTGTGGTGCTTAAGATCATTTTAATTGAACAAATGTGTTACATAAAACCAGAGTGAGTTTCTTATGTAAAAATACATCAACTGGAATATCTGCAGAGAGGATTTTCTACTTAACAGTTCATCTGGAGTAACACTTTCTTTATCCACAAAATCACCTACCCTGCTAATTTAATTAATTGCCAAATATTATCATCATCTGTTTTACTCCTTCAGCCATAGGACCTAAGCTCAAGCCCTTTTAAAAATAAACTCATAAGCCCTGTCCTAGGGAAGATGTAAACTAGAAGAACAATCAGCTTAGTTGGTTGGTCTCTCTTGGGCTAGTTTCTGGTTCTCCTTCTGTCCCTGCCATTTCCCCTCCACATACAAACATCTTTCCCCAATGAAGCAAGGAAAACTGGCTCATTCAATTTGTTTATTTTATAATTAGAGCATAAAAAGGAAAAGTGTAAAGTACTGAGACTAACCCACTTCTTCCAACACACTCAGATGCACATGCACAAGAATAAGTATCAGACAAGTCTAGCTCTTCAAACAAGCCCCCTTGGGAGACTGTAACTTTGTGCTAGGCATAGTGCCATACTTCTAAATACTATTTTAGAACTTACAAAGCTAGTTTCCCAGTCACATGAGAAAACCCAACCCATTACTTTAGGATCTTATTTCACTTTTCACCAAAAATCGTATCACCCTGCATTCTCCTTCATAACACCTACGTTATAAGATCTGATACCAGATGACTCTTACAAGCGTCCAGAAATAAAATCCACAGAGGACAGGATTTCTCGCCACTGAGGATATGCAGAAGGATGTAGGACAATTCTCAGAGTAACTCACAAGAAGCATTCCAACATGTTTTATATAATGGCACATTGTTGTGGGAAAAAAAACTTATTTGGATATATAAATCTCATGTACCTATTAAGTTTATAGGCACGGTGTATAAGCTTCCATCTGTAATCTTCAAAGAGAGTTCATGGCAGGAAACGCAATCAGAAAGAGGGGGAATTAGTGATGACACGAAACTTTGTGCAGATACTACTGAAACCACTGAATTGTATACTTTAAAGGGTGAATTTTATGATATGTTACTTATATCTCAATAAAACTGTTATTTTTTTTAAAAAGGGAGGGTCAAGATTGGGTTGAAAGTTAAATTGATTTTAATAAAATGAGATGAAACAGATTCTGAGCATAACGTACAACTCAAGGAGATTGATTCTAAGACTGTGTTATTGAGAAAGGGCACCAGGGATATTTTGGAGTATGCTTAAACAGGGTTATGAACTGTAAAAGCCAGATTTGAGACAAGCTTGGAAGGACAAATGTGAGACCCCCAAGGGTAAAAACCCTTGGGAGAGGAGAAAACCCAGGGTGAGGAGATAAAATCGGCAGAGACAGAGAATGAGGGGAGGGGTGTGTGTCAGTCGCAGAGTGCTAATGGAAGAGACTCCAGCTAGGTAGCCCTACTCTGCCTTCAGGGATGCCCTAGAATAAAGGCTGAAGAAACCTAGAATAGGCCTTGCATGGAGTTAGCTAATCAAACTTTCTGCTTCAGCAAAGTGTATTTGGAATTTTCAGGAAATTCTACTTTGTACCAATCTCACGGAAAAATAATTTTTAAATATTTTTCTTGAAAACTGCCAGTGAAATTAATAGCCTTATATACCCTTTCATTTTTCTTTCTCTTATCTCTGTTTCTCTTTTTTTTTATTATTTCAGCATATTATGGGGATCTCTGTTTCTCTTACTAACATTTCTCTCTTGTCCCGAGTTCCTACACTTCCTTGCCTAGCCTACCTCTGCTCTTTCCTCATCCTTAGATCTCTGGAAAGGTTCCTGCTGCCTCCGGAATTCAACCATTCAGCCCCTTCACAGATATTTCTTGAAGGAATATGTCATGACAGAAACCATGATAGGTTCCTGGATCCCTGCCCCCAATGAGCTTACAGTCTAGTAAGCACCTCACCCACTGGCCTTTTCTGTCTCCCTCTTTTTCTTCCCCATATCTTTTCTTTATCAGCATCTTTTACTCTTCTCTCCCCACTGTCGCTCCCTAAAGCCCATACTAGAGCCCGGGGAGTGGAATCAGTTAAGGTAAGGCTATGTGAGTCATCTAACTGAAGAGGACGCTCCGCTGCTGGAATGAGTGTCACACAGTGGTTGGAATTGAGGACGTGAGTCGTAGTGCCTGGGTTCAAATCATCTACTTTCTCGCTGTATGAATGTTGGGAGGGGGGTATCTTAACCTATCTAAGCCTGTTTCCTCATTTATAAAATAAAATAAAAGTAAAACTGCTTCATAAGATTGTCTTAAGGGTAATTCAATTAATATAAGTAAAGTGCTTGGCAAATGCCCAGCATATTAAGTTCTTCATAGATGTTGGCTATTAGATGGTGTCAGTATAAAGATAATTAGTTTGGTTACCAATTTTCTTCGTTCCATGATTAGACTCCAAGCAAAGGCTATCAAGAAACCTTATGAAGTACAACATGACTTTGAGAAGTTTCTACATAAACTGGTATGTTTCCTTTCCAAAAATAATTGAGAATTCTCCCTCTAGCTTCTCTTACGTAAGCCTGGACAATATTTCATAAGCAATGCATAGTGTCACACCCAAGTTACAGTAGCAGAACACATTCTTGTTATTTAATCATCCTCAGGAACATTTAAGATAATCTCTGTTTTACATAGTTAGCGATAATCTCATGCCCACTTTTCCCATTCCTTGCTTCTGAGCAGGGACAGTTTACGCAACTGAAAAACTCTGAATGCAGTTAGAATTAGAAACTAATAGAAAATTATTGGTGTTTGAACTTGTATTTTATTTTTCATTAATAATTCAACAAAAGCATATTGGGTACCAATGCCTGTGTTAGATAAATGGTCCCTGCTCTCAATTCCTAGAAACACAAGGCAGAATATGATAAGGTTCTAGACAGGACTCAAGTGTGAGAAAAATATAAAAGAAAGGAGATTATTCCATCTTTCTGGGTTTACTTGTCCCTTCTTTTCTGCCCCTCCTTACCTGGGGCAGTCCTGTTAAGTCTGAAGGGCCTGTTCCCTTCCAACAGAAAAGAACATGTACAGACTAGAGTATAATAAATCTGAAGGATGGACAATCTGAGGTCAGGAATAGAAAAGAACCTTTTATTTTCCACATGTCAGGCTTCCACTCAAAAATCTAGCAATCCCATTGGCTACTGGTATAATGTTAAAAATGAGTCAAATCAAATTCCTACATGAGCCAGAAAGGTGATAATAGTGAAACACCTAGAAATAGGACTATTCTTTACTGCCACCAAAAAATATTCTTTCTCCCATTTTTCTTGGTCTTTTTCTATCTTTCAACTCTTGATAGAGACATGGGCACAGAGAAATACTTATTTACTATAAGAAAACAACTGTGCAAGTGTGCTAATAAAAGGGCGAGTGACCTCAGCTGGTACATGGTAAATGGTCTGAGTATCAGGGAAACTATAAGGAGTTGTGGATATAGTAGCGCACTGGAAAGCTGTGCCTCATCGAACAGGGCAGCTACTATCTCACCTCTAGTTCACTGCTGCTCTGCAGGAATGTGGGCCAAAGTGTATTCAGATATTCCACCACATTATTCTGTAAAATCTCCTGATCTGGACCCCAAGTGTTTAAACATTTTGTGGGCCATACTAAATACAATCGGCAGACCAGATGTGGCCCATGGGCTACCGATTTGCAACCCCTTGTCTGAATGCTTTCTGGATTTGGATCTCTTTCAAAAGCTGGCTATAGCCAGTGTAGCCAATCTTATTCTTTGCTACATACCAAAGCAAACCCTTTACTCCCACTGAACCTTCTGCGTACACCATGTTTGCCTAACACCCATAGGCATCGCTCATCTGCAATACATATTTCCCAGATTTCAAATTCTGCTCATTTAGGGCCATGCTCAAAGTCCATTTTCTGCATGATGCTTTTTTCCAATGGCCCCAGCCCTATCCTTTCCAGACACATTTGGTATCTCTCCTAATTTCTAGACCACTACTTCGTGATGGTAGGATTGAAACATTGTTCTTCTTTTTTCAAGCCAGAAATCAAAACACAGAATAGATACCTGGCTTAGAATGACCATGTGTGTCACTCAAAGAAGAGTGCACACTGGGAATTTTTACTCACCTATTGCAAAGAAGGAATCACGTGGTAAAAAATTTAAATGGAATAGCAAAGCAATGACAAATGGCATTTTTCTTTTACAGTGATCCAGGTTATCTATAAAGAATTACGTACCAACCACAAATCCTTTGTGGAAAATGGCAAGGTATTAAAAAACAAAGGATTATAAATTTAAATAAATTCAAGTTTGAATTATTGGGTTTAAAGAACTCAAAATTCTTTCAACCGATTGGACGTAGGCTTTCTCAAGTGTTTACCTTTCTGCTAAAATGAAAATGCACCAGCAATTTCTAATTTAAAACTTAATACTGGCTTTCCTAGTACTTCATGTATGACTACTGTCCTTTAAGAAAATTTACAACCAGCATTGCGTAGGCTTCTTTAAAACTGAGATTCTAGATGAAGAAGCCCAATCTTTGAGTTGCACATTAATGAGCTAAAACAATAACAGAACATTGTGATAATTTTCTAGATAATTCATGCCATAAAACCACTGCTATATCAATTATCTGAGTATTGTAGCAAAATATTTTTTGATCTAAATCATCATATGATTCAGGAAGGGCTTCACATAGTCTGTCCATGAGAGAAAACCATTCATGGCCAAACATTTCTGCCCACTCTCGATAAACACACATAGCACCACTACCAATCCTAGAATCCACTATAAGTCTTTTCATACTCACTCTCACCCATACATCTGCACACCTGCCCTACACCAGTCCACATATACAAATAAGCCTTGTTAGATACACAAAAAAGGGATATAAGGCATGAGTGGGATTTCCCAGAAGTAAGCATGCCTCTTGGGTTGGAGAAGCATTTGAGAAAAGGTGGTAGAGTAGGAAGGAAGTAATTAGATTCGAAGTAATTCGATTCCATGAATGAATCGAATCATCTGAATTACCATCTAGGTAGTTCTGTATTTCAACATGAATAGAGAAAAGACTTAACGTGTCTTTCATCTAAATTTTTCTAATTAGTGATGGAGATAGATCAGGGCCAAAAGGAAGTGGTTGTTTATGTGATATCACGTGGTTTTTAAAAAAGTTTAAATGAGTCTGAAATTTTCTTCCTAAGTGCCTCTTTTGCCAAAAAAAAGAGTGATTCTTACCATCTTAATAATTGGGTGAATGTCATATTCAAGTATATGATGTCCAAGAAAATCGGTGAGTTTTAATCATGTATTATTTTCATAGCGTTCTGAAACTCCAGTTGAGAGAGAACTGGCATCACTGTCATCATCATCATCATCATCATCATCATCATCATCATCATCAACAGAAGACTACAACTTTGAGGAAGAAGAATGCTAAGAGAAACCAGAAATGAACACTATTCAAGAATAACACATACAATTCAGTTGTATTAGTTTAATTGTAGCCATATGTTTAATTCAAGTCCAATCCATGAAGTCAGTATTGAATGTGTTTTACCATTCATCTTTAAAATCTTCAAATCAATAAATCTCAGTAAATTATTCTTAAAAGATCTGCCCAAACATAATCTTGGCTTGTAATAGGACAAACATATTTTAAAATGGAAAAATAATCATTATAAAGCCTAGGGAGCTTTCAACCATTTCTTTGGAAATACATCTTGATAATAGCAACTGTTCATCATAATACAAAACAGAAAGAGGATTAATTTACTGTGGCATGGGAAGTCCTGCCAGTTCCCAAATGCCCCAAATAGTTTCTCTGAGATGTTTTACATTGTTTAGGCCTCGAGGAAAACCAAAGCCCCACCCCCAGGTTTAGTAGCAAACAAACTCTGTTTCTCTGGTGCTAAGCTTCGACCACTCCTCTGGTAGTAAGATTCGTGCACATTTGCTAGGAAGCTGGGCAGCTTGTCAGCAGGTACTATTGATACTGTGCAGCCTCCCCATCCTGCTCCAGTAAGTCGTGACCCTTGAGCTCCAAACTTCCTAAAATAGTGAGGGGAAAAAAATTAGAACTTATAAATGAACGTAAGAGTGATTTGCTTGGTGTTTATAGAACACATAGTTCTGACAAAAGAATACATGAGGGTTTTCTGGCTCTTTTCAAACAATTTAGGACATTAACAAATTTATACTATTCCAGAAAGTGATTTGGGAATTTTTAATTGTATCTAAAGCTAGTCTCTGGTTTTGGCTGTAAGCAGTAAAAGCCAGCAGTACGTTCATTTCATGAGGACCAGCATAACCCACTGAAGTCTTGATTCCAAAAAGTAGCCACTTGAAGAGTTATGTAGCAATCCTACAAGTAAATCAGGAAGAGGGAGTAAAAACAAACCAGGCAATAATAAAAAGAAGTTCAGGCAAACCTGAATCACAAGGTCACTCCAAATGAGGACAAATCAAAATTTAAAGTTCACAGTCTTATACAAGTAGAGGTTTCCTCCAGTGGCTATTTCGACTGAATTCTTAAGGCTTGGCTATTTCAAATCAGTCCCTAGAACAGATAACCTAGATTTGTGCTCAATAAATATATCACCACAGAACTTGTTATTAAACTCTGGGTTGACTGGTTTGTTTAATCCCTAATAGGAAATTATGAAAACTTTTCCACAAAGAGGATGGTGGTCCCTATTCCTACAGATCGATACCTGGGCCTTCTGGAGATGCTCTAACTATTGTACTCAGAATTTGCCATAACGTGAGATGTGCCTGATTTGGACGGAAACAACTATATAAGTGACAGAGCAATAGGTAATTGTAGTCACCAAGTCACCATCAACTAAGCACAGTTTCAAACCTAAGATTTGAACCAAAATTAAAGGCTCTACATAAAATGCAAGGATCACTCACCTTTAAAAGATGCAATTTATCCTGACAAAAAAAGTTAACGTGTCTTTCTTCCGATCAATTCTTCCTAATAAAATTTATTCTAAATTAGTAGCAGATAAAGCCTCCATAATTAGCACAACTTTGTCTCTTTTTTTCCCATCTAAATGAGCTACTTTACTTCTGGACAATATCAGTAGACTATTAACCCTACTCTAGGACATCAGAATTATTGCACACCAGTAATTCATTTTTCCCTCAACAATTTTCTCAATTGATTTCTTTTTATGGTCTTAGTCTTTAAGATATGCTTCTCAAGATCTCTAGAGGGAAAACTACAAAATACTGATGAAAGAAATCATAGATGACTCAAACAAATAGAAAAACGTCCCATGCTCACAGGTTGGAAGAATCAATACTGTGAAAATTACCATACTGACCAAAGCAATCTACAGATTGAATCTACAGATTCAATGCAATTCCTATCAAAATACCAATGTCATCTTTCACAGAATTAGAGCAAAATCCTAAAACTCATATTGAACCAAAGAAGAGCCCAAATAACCAAAGCAATCCTAATCAAAAGAACAAAGCTGGAGGCATCATATTATCAGACTTCACATTATACTACAAGGCTATAGTAACCCAAACAGCATAGTACTGGTATAAAAATAGATACATACCTTAATATTTTGAAATAAAAAAGAAAACAAAACAAAAATGATACATAGATCAATGGAACAGAATAAAGAACCCAGAAGTAAAGCTATATACCTATAAAACCATCTGATCTTCAACAAAGCATATAAAAACATACACTAGGGAAATGATACCCTCTTCAATACATGGTGCTGGGAAAATTGGATAGTCATATGCAGAAGAATGAAACTGGATACCCATCTCTCACTATATACAAAAATTAACTCAAGGTGGATTAATGACTTAAATGTAATACCTGAAACTATAAAAATTCTAGGAGATGGCCCAGTGAGTGACTCATGCCTATAATTCTAGCACTTTGGGAGGCTGATGTAGGAGGATTGCTTGAGGCCAGGAGTTCAAGACCAGCTGAGCAAGAGGAAGACCTTGTCTCTACAAAAAACAGAAAAATTAGCTGGGTGTGATGGCGTGTGCCTGTAGTCCCAGCTACTCATGAGGCTGACGCAGAAGGATAAAAAAAAAAAAAAAAAAAAAAAAAAAAAAAAAAAAAAAAATTGGGCTTTAACTAAAAAACTTCTGTATAGCAAAAAAAAAAAAAAAAATCAATAGGGTAAATAGACAACCTACAGAATGGGAGAGAATATTCACAAACTATGCATTCAACAAAGGACTAGTATCCAGAATCTACAAGAAATTCAACAACTGAACAAGAAAAAAATAAATAATCCTATTAAAAAGTGGGCAAAGGACATGAACATTTTTCAAAAGAAGACATACAAAAGGCCAAGAAACACATGAAAAAATGCTCAACATCACTAATTGGGAAAGAAATGCAAATTAAAACCACAATGAGATACCATCTTACTCTGATTGGAATGGCCATATTAAAAAGTCAAAAAATAATAAATGTTGGCAGGGATGTAGAGAAAAGGGAACACTTATATGCTGTTGGTAGTGGGAAAGTAAATTTATACAACCTCTATGGAAAACTATATGGAGATTTCTCAATGAACTAAAAATAGACCTACCATTCAATCTAGCAATCCCACTATGGGGTATCTACCCAAAGGAAAAGAAATCATTATATCAAAAAGATATCTGTACTCATATGCTTATCACAGCACTATTCACAATAACAAAGATATGGACCCAACCCAAGTGACTATCAACCAATGATTGGATAAAGAAAATGTGGTTTATATATATTAATATATATCATTGAGTACTACTCAGCCACAAAAAAGAATGAAATAATGTCTTTTGCAATAACTTGGATAGAACTAGAGACCATTATTCTAAGTGAAATAATTCAGGAACAGAGAATCAAATACCATATGTTCTCACTTATAAGTGCTCCCCTAAACTTTGGGTATCCATGGTCATACATCGTGGAATAACAGACAAAGGTGGGAAGCTAAGAGGGGGGTGAGGGATAAATAATTACCTGTTGGGTACAATGTACACTATCTGGGTGATGGGTACACTAAAAGCCCAGACTTCACCACTGCACAATATATCCATGTAACAAAAGTGCACTTGCATCCCCCTAAATCTATATAAATATAAAATAAATAAATTAAATATGCTTTTCAAATGAAAATAGATGTTTAAGGAAGAAAACAATTCTTATAAATAAAGATTATTGATATCCTCCTGTCCCTCAAGCATTTAGCTTATGGCCCAGTAGTTGACCTGAGCCCAAACTCCTATCATCCAGGCTAAAAAGTTTCTTTGCCCCTGGGATTCTGGGATTATTCTGAATTTCTAGGCTAGCAAAGGGCCCATTTGCAGTTTGTTGATTTAAAAAATGTTTGTCATATTGCAGTCACATCAAAATATTTCTCATTGTAGAAGATGCTGGGAAAAACTGAGGTATCAGTGAACTATCTCTGAAAGACCCTAAAATCTGGGCATCAAAGCCAACCACAGGATGGTCTAGAGAACAACATGCTCTCTTACTTGATTTTCTAAGACCCAAAATATGACATTTTACTGGACTTAAGTCACCAAGTCTTAATGGTCTTCAGTGGACTTCTAGGCATATTTAATTACACTTTCTCATTTGAACAGTTTTTGATAGCTGTATTTTCAAAATTGAACCTAAAGCAAACTGAGAGTATTGTTTCTAATTTGGCTGTAAAAACCATAGGAATTGTGCCAGAGGGCCTATTTACTGAGACTCCTGCCAGTTTCCAGAGAGCAGAAGCTAGAAGTCTTTCTAGGTAAATACATTCACTTCTGAGACTCCAGAGCTTCTCTGTCACCACCCTGTCTGCTGCAGATGAAAATGGACTGCATTGCCTCAACCACATGGTCTGAAATCATCAGGGCTCAAGTTTCCCAAATAGAGAATGATAAGTGCTATTATAAATAGCCTTCTGCCCCTGAGTCAGTGGCACTTACGATTATAAATCAGGGGCAGCCCCAGCAGCTGGTCAGCAGCCTGCCAGCTATACACACAAAGGCAGAAAGTGTTCCCACTGGTGCCTAATTTGCCCTTTGGCATACGCCACAGAAATTCTGAGAGGTCTAAAAGTTAGGAGACCAACATAAGCTCCAAATTAAGAAGAGTAGGTGAGCCAAGGTTGTTTAGTGAACTTTTCACATTTGCATTTTTTCTGAAAGAACGGACATTAAAAATATATCTTCTGAGCTATTGCACATCAGAGAGGCAATACAAGAGTTACAAAAACTAAAACCCTAAAATCCCCTAAGATCCACTTTGATTAGTGTGCTAACTACATTGAGAATAATGTAGATTTCAACATAGCAACAAAAGCAGCCTCTGCTTTATAAAGCATGATCTACAAAACAAGGCTAAGGCAGATGAGAGATGGATATCATAAGGAATATTCCCTTTGATCCCTTTATCACTAAAATGTGTAGTCA